AAGTAAACTCATCAGACCGAGCTTATCGATCAAAGTAAACTCATTAGACAAAGCACAGCAAGCGAACTAAATTCATCAGAGCGAGATAATCGATCTGAGTAAACTCATCAGACCAAGCTCATCGATCCAAGTAAACTCATCAGACTGAGCTCATCGATCAAAGTAACTCATTAGACCAAGCACATCAATCTAATTAAATTCAGCAGAGCGAGATAATCAATCTGAGTAAACTCATCAGACCAAGGGCATCGATCAAAGTAAACTCATCAGAGACAGATACTCGATCGAAGTAAACTCATCAGACCAAGCAATTCCATCTAAGTAAACTCATCACACCGAGCTCATCGANTGCCTTTGCTATTCCAAACTTAACATGTCCAGAGCAGAAGGGCAGGATACAAGACAATGGGTTCCTCAAGAAGGGCAAAGAAAATAAAGGATAAATGAGTGTAGCTAAATTATATACAGCCTGGTCTGAGTCCTGGAGACAATGTGCTGTTATGAGCCTAGCCACAAACTACACATCTTGGAACTACAGTGGACTTCCGAGATCTAAGTTTATAAGAATTGCCCCATATTACAAGGAAATGAAGGCTCTGGTTGACTTGGTCATACAGCTGGTGTAGCTACACCCAATACTCCCGTTTTCTCAATTTTACTATACCAAATTTGTCAGCTTCCATTAAACACACAGGCTAACCTTTGGAAAATTTCCACTGAACTTCAAATTTTAAACAGGCCCAGAAAATAACATGCCAATGTAATTAAAGCAAACACAAGTTCTTCCCGGGCTAAACTAGGAAGTTTATGTCCTGGTTACAAATTGTTAAAATTAACTGAACACTTCTATTTATCAAATAATATGCTAATTACATAAACAAGCAATTTCAAGGGAGAATTTGTAACAGATATTAAGCAGCTAAGAGACATTTTTCAATTATCTGCATTGTACTTTTTCTTTCTTAAAACCTAGACTTGTAATTACTCAAAACTACCTAGCACTTTGTGTAGTGACATCCCCAGACTTCAGTACATCAGAAGTCTTCCAAGTGCTTATTCAATGATACATACTTTTGGACCCTGTCCAGACCCGGTGAGTGAATCTCTGGTGATGAGGTCCTAGAGCATACAGTTGACACACCCCACCAGGTAACACCAATGCACATTCAGTGAGAACCACTGACACTCCGGTCAACCAACCAGATTATATAAACATACCTGCTTATTCGATTAAACTTCCTGCACATTTTTCTCCTTTCAGAGATTTTCCTCTAAAAATAACTGGCCCAGTATGAGAAAGTGGACTTTTACTGTTTTCTTTCTGACATGTTTCCCCTTCTTCCATGAACAGCTCTAAATTTTCACATGTGTATGGAACATATAACCCAAGGCAGCTACTACAGTCACAGGCAGTCAGCGAGAAATCGGTCTATAGACTGAGCCAGTCCAGTAAGGAGCTACCTCTGTTAGGCCTGAGGAGCGACAGGTTTGAGGTTGGAGCTGCCACCATGACTGCAGTCTAGAGCTGCCATATGCGTGAAGTCTAAAGTTCTGAATACAGTTCTATAGACCTCTCAGTTTTGGAGGTCAAAAGATTCCATTTTCAACATAAGCCAGCTGATGTATGGTTTCAGTAACTTGTTAAATAGTACTAAATAGAAGTAAACATTTTCCAGCACATCGTTGGAGAAAGTAGAAAGCCTAATATTCCCAACCATATGGCCTAGAGAATGGCTAAGAACTTGAAAGGCAGTTAGGCGTTAACTTCTCAGCAGTATGACGCTCATTTCTAGTTTCCTCTTCCAGCACTCACCACCACCATTTGGCCTCCTAATGGTTGTGTCAAATACAGTTATGTGTCACTTAAGGACCGGGATACATTCTGAGAAATGTGTCATTAGGCAATTTTGTTGTACAAACATGTGTACTTATCTACATGTCATAGCGTACTACACACATAGCTATATGGTATAGCCTAGGCTACCAACCTGTACATGTCACTACTGAATACTGCAGGCAATTGTAACACAATGGTATTTCTGTATCTAAGCATATCTAAACATAGGGTACAGTTAAAATATGGTATTATAATCTTTAAAAAAATTTTTTTTACATTCCTTAAGATGTTGTGGAGCAGCTGGTGGGGAGGGGGAGAGGGAAAGGGGGAAGGAAATAGGGTGGGAGGAGTTGGTCGAGGACCATGGCACTCCCTTCATTCTGGCCAGGGGAGACCAGGGGGCTTCCAGCGGTAGATTGGTGGGCGTTCTGGGCCGCTTGTGCATGCCAGGGGGGCGTGGCTAAGGCCCACGGCCCTCACCCGTCCCTGGATTGGGAGCCCAGGGGGTTTCTGGTCCTTTTAGGTTTTACAGGTGATCTTTGGTGGTGTCAGACCTTTACAGTTAACATCAGACTTTGATCTGTGGGTATTTTGTTTTTTCTTTCAGTTCTGTGTTGGACTATTGCCGTTCCCACCACTTAAACTCTGCACTAGAACTAATTTGTTCTTCTTTGCTTACTTCTAAAGTGGAGGAACTTCCTGTGGGGACCAGCACTTGAGCTCTGTGGCTGAGCTAAATTGCTGATTTGCTGCTGATTCTCTGGGAAAGGCTTTTTGTGCAGCTCAGGTTTAATGGTTGACCTTGTATGTACTTCTGGGTCTTGTGAGGTCTGACACACCTGGGTTGTGTAGAAACTCTGGGTCTGAGCCTGAGTCTTTTCAGCAAATTGCACCCCCTGCAGTTCTATATTCCTGACCAGTCTACACAGTGGGCCTGTCCTGATTGGAGGGCAGATCAGCTGTCCATGCTGTGCTCCAGTGTTCCCCCAGTGGGCCCGTCTCCCCCACTGCCTGTGCTCCAAACACTTCCCATAGGTCAGGCTGTGCACCCGTCCCTTGCGATGACTCACTGGCATCTGAGTGATTCCTTTTTTTCAGTTGTCTGTGTCTCCTTGCTCCTACGTGGGTCCACGGAACCCTGTTAGTGGTCTTGCTGGCCTGGGGTCCACCAAGGCCCTCTTCTCCCGTCGCCTCCAAGCCACTTCATACGAAGGGCACAGCTGTGACTTTTGCCAGCTCTTGCTTTGTGCGCTCACCTGCTCCAGCTGTGAGGCAGGCAGGGCTTGAATGGTGGAAGGATCCTTTCTCTCTCTCATTGTGGCTTCTCCTGCCTTGAACTCCGCAGGTCTCCCTCTTTCCCTGGGCTCTAATGGCCCCAGCTTGGCTGTCATTGCTTTTTAATAGTTGTAAATTGGTTGATTTGTGGGAGAGAGTGACACTGGGGACCATCTATTCTGCCATCTTGACTGGAAGCCCGGGTATAATCTTATGGGACCACCATCATATAAGTGGTCCCTCATTGAGCAAAACATCACTATGGGGCATATGAGTCTGTATTAACAAAATGATTATAAATACAAAATTTCTACCCCAAAACCAGCATTTGATGATGGCCTAACATATCTTAGATAGGAAAAATGTCTTTCATTGGAAACACAAAAAAAGCTGCTCAACATCTGAAAAGTTCTGAATTTTTAAAGTTTTAAACTCCAACCAGAAGTTCAACAAATTAAAGGCACAAAATAATTGTGCATTCAAATTGAAGAATAAAATTATAAAATGCTGTTCCAAGAGTTCTTTTATGGACAAGAAATCTGGTTAAGAAAAAAAGGACCACAGGAGATTTTGTGAACTGCTTTAGGTATATACCTCCAAGAACTCAATAAATAAACATTGTCTAGTCACCCATCAAGGAAGATATAAGTACACACAAATAGTTTTACATGTTTATTTTCAACTTTTAAAAAAAGGTACGTAAATCAATGTGCAAATTAGGCATGATTCCTAGCACCAGGCAGGAAGCAGGGTACCTTCAACATGTGCCAAATTCAGATGCGTTCCCCTTCTCTTGGGAATTGTCTAAATCACTTAAATGTATTCTTTGGAATTTATGTTCTAATTGACCACTGTTAACCTTTATTTAAAAAGTTCCCTCCCATTAATACTGTGTATTTTCATTATGAGTTAAAACTAGAACAAAAAGTATTTCATAATTTTTTATTGATGGCATTTCTCCCATGGTTTAACATGTTAATTATACTGTAATAAACATGGCTTTAATATTAAACTTTTCCTTATTATCCAAAGTCACCACAGTCCATTTCAGTAAATATAAAAATATATGCTTAATACTTTGTACAATACTGGTTTTTGGTCCAAACAAAACTGGATCAGAAAAGCCAATAAATTCAACTTTAAGAATCCCCAATTTTTTTTAAAAGATTTCCAAATGGATTTAGGCAACTTTGAATAATGGGATTTACATAATAAAATCTGAGACAAGACTAAACAAACAACAAAAAAAATTTCTAACACAAATTTAAAATTTCAAGTTCACAGATTTATGTTATGCCAAAAAAGTACAGAAACAAAATTGTATTTACACAAGTTTCATAATAAAATAATGAAAAAGGCAAGACAGGTGATAGAAGAATGAAAATATAGAAACAGCATATAATTATTAAATGGAGAACGAACTAGATCTAACAAGTCCTTAGCACGGACCATTCTTTAATCAGGCTTCCTCTATCAGAAAATTTTAGTGCACAAGACACCCAACTCACTCACTTCACACATACACCAGCACAAACTCGGCATAGAAGTCATTCATTTCAACATCCTCTAATCTATACAGAATTCTAATCTATACAGAATTCCTCAGATATAATTACAATTTCAACGCGTTCCATAAACGTTTATCAACACACACAGTGGTGCAGATGAAGAGGTTCTACACAAAGCCATTCGCCATGTGGGCTTTATTCCTGGGTACAGCCAGACTATGCCAATCAGTGAACAATATGCTGGATCAAAATATTTTTGCTGAAGAATCAGTCATCAGTCTGGCTATTATTTTTTTAAAAGGTGGTGGGAGAGGTGGGGGTGGGGCTTCTGTAAAGAAAGAGAAAGGAGAAAAATTCCAAAATTAAAGAAGTCCTTAGGCAGATCTGATTTCAGATAACTCCAGCACGTAGTACAACTCGGTATATGAAAGCAGGGCACCAGCTGTTGTTAAAACGGTTGTGTGTAACACCATTGTGTTTATTTATTCTTGCGTCTAACAGCAGTCTTAATCTTGCGACCAGAAACTGAAGTTCCAGAAGAAGAGAAGGTATTTTTCCCATTTGACCTGTGAAAATTAAAAACACAACATGACATGATAGAGCAAAAGTTCAGAATCACAGCAACATTTAACATGACCAGCATCAAGGGGGGAAGAAAGAGGCACCATTAAAGCAAACCATTTTCTACTGCACGTAAGACACACACGTTACTGCTATTTTCTCAGGCTACAGTATAATCCTCCAAAATTGTAATATGGTAAATTGATGTTGGGGAACATATTTAACTTTACCTCAACTACACTGCATCTTGATGACTTTAAAAACAAAACACATACATGCACACACTCTTACCAATGTAAATTCTCCATTTCAACAAAAAGTTCTCTTACCCCATTGTAAATGCTGCTGGAGACTGGTTAAATGGAAAGCCCCCTGAGCCTGAAGGCTGGGCTGAGGCTGCAGGTGTGGAAGGATTTGCACCAAACGTGAACACTCTTGATGGATTGTCTGTGAAGTTAAAATTTGTAGTGCTGCTGCCAAATTGGAAAACCAAACCTACGAAGTTGAAGCAGAAGAACTTCATTAAGGCAAAAATGACAGTTTTTTTTTTTAGTAATGACTCTGACTTCTACATATAAAAACATATAAAAGATTAAGATCTCTTATGGTCACTTAGTCTAAAAAAAACTAAAATATTTTCTCCTCTGGCACACAATACATACTTGACACCTCCAACAAGTGACACGACTTACCCATGACCAAGGAAAAAAGGGTAGATGGACTTCTGGTTAAAGACAGTAAAATCGACAAACTTGAAAAGTACACTACTAAAAAGATTTTTACAAAGATGGAGGCAGAGGAGACAACAGCAACAAAAGTTTAGAGGCTAGAAGGCTGACTGGAGCTGAATACTAAAGTAGCAGCAGGAAAAGCACAGAAACAATTCCATTTACACTAAATGTACCCAAAAGGTTCCAGGCACCTCTAGAAGTGAGAATGAAGGACTGGAGAAGGGAAAAAAAAAAAAGAGGAAGGATGGTAGAGAATATCTGTTTAAGCAGCAGATAATTAGATTAATCTCTTGCCAACATCAAACAAGACGGTAATTCTCCTCTTCCACCCCAGCAGAAGGAAGTTTAGTCTCCGGACAGTTCTCTGGTCTAGAAGACACCACGCACAGTTAAGGTCAAGAACATCATATTAAATATGGGGAGATTAACAGTAGGTTGTTTTAAGGAATACTAAGAACTCCAGCCATTCTTCCTTACTCAGCTCCTAGAACTGGCAAGCAGGAGTTCCCTGATACTCTCCATGCAGGAGTCTGGAAATATCTTCTTCGGGGAATCTGACAGACAAAGAGGAAAAAGCTAAAAATACTAACATCCAGGTTTTCCCAGATAAAGTAAAACTAGATAAACCAGATAAACCTACAATGAAATTGAAGATCTCTAAGCCCTATCAATGTGCAAAGGATTTCCAAGTGTTCCACACTCATAAAACTTTGAGTACATAGTCAAGGAGCATCAGACATTTGAGGACAATGTTAATAAGAAACAATGAGACCAAAACAGTAATAGCAATTTGGAGAAAACTGACTGAGCATGGTAGCAAAACTTTAAGGGAAAGAAAACCCAAACAACTCATCATTAATATCCTCAAGAGATCAACAAACAACACTACATCCATGAAACAAAACCAGACGGATATAAAAAGAAAACATTCTGAAAAAAAAAGAACACTTGGAAATTAAAAGATCATAAGAGTGAAAGTAAAATCTCAACAGAAGGGGCAGTAAAAGATAAAGAAATTTCCTCAGAAAGTTCAACAAAAAAGACACAAGGTGGAAAAAGGAGAATAGAGAAGAAAAGAATGAGGGGTAAAATCTTCAAGAAATAATTCAGGAAAATTTCCAAGAACTGAAGTTCACAAAAGAGCTTGCTGCATTGCCTAAACAATCAATGGATAAAAATGGATCCATACCAAGGCATGTCCTGACATGTCAGAACACAGAAGGCAAAAGAAAAGACTCTCACTAGATTCCAGAAAGAAGAAATAGGTCAAAAGGCAAGTTATCAAGAAAGACTTCCAGTGCAACTCTAGAAACCTCAAAGTCCACAATAGAGAAATAGCTTCAAAATTAAGAAAATAATTTCCAACCTAAATCTAATATCAACTAAAATCTTACCAAACATAGGGACAGTATAAAGATCCTTCCAGAAAGCAAGGCCTCAAAATGTTCTTCCCTAAAGCCCTTAATGAAATCACTGGAGATGTGCTCTATTGAAAACAAGGGAGTAAGAAGGAAAAAGACATGATACCCAAGAAACAGAGGTCCCTATAAGAAGCTGAACGGAATCTCCAAGATAATGGTAAAAAGAGATCCCCCCAAGACAGTTTAACAGCAGGACTAGGAAGCCTGATGGGAGGAAAAGTCTGAAAGACCCTGTGAGAAAGTTCTTTCAGATACTGAAAAACCACCAATGTGTTTAAACATACTGAGAAGAAGTGTTTGCAGCCGCCGCCGCGCCGCCATGGCTCTAAGGCCAGCGCCGCCTCCCGCTCGCTCGCCGAGCTCCAGCCCGAGGGGCAGGGGGTAAGTAAGGAGGTCTCTATACCACGGCTCGTGCGAATCAGACTGCCTGCAAATCGACCGGTGCTAAAGCACCCAGGAAACAACTGGCTACAAAAGCCGCTCGCAAGAGTGCGCCCTCTACCGGAGGGGTGAAGAAACCTCATCGTTACAGGCTTGGTACCGTGGCACTCCGTGAAATTAAACGTTATCAGAACTTCTGATTCGCAAACTCTCCTTCCAGCGTCTGGTGCGAGNCCGAGCTCATCGATCTACGTAAACTCAGCGTACCGAGCTCATCGATCTAATAAACTCATCAGACCAAGCTCATCGATCTAAGTAAACTCATCAGACGAAGCTCATTGACATAAGTAAAGTCATCAGACCTATCTCATCGATCTAAGTAAACTCATCAGAGCATCCTAATCCATCTAATAAACTCATCACACCAAGCACATCGATATATGTATGCTCATCAGACCGAGCTCATCCACCTAAGTAAACTCATCGGACCAAGCTCATTGAACAAATAAACTTATCAGACCAGGCTCATTGATCTAACTAAACTCATCAGACCAAGCTCATCGATCTAAGTAAACTAATCAGAGAAAGCTAATCAATCTAAGTAAAATCATCGGACAGAGTTAATTGATCTAAGAAAACTCATCTGAACAAGCCCATCAATCTAAGTAAAGTCATCACAACAAAATCATCGATCTAAGTAAACTAATCAGACCGAGTTTATCGATATAAGTAAACTCATCAGACCAAGCTCATTGATCTAAGTAAACTCATCAGACTGAGACCATCGATATAAGTAAACACATCAGACCAAGCCCTTCGATCTAAGTGAACTCATCAGACCAAGCTCTTCAATTTCAGTAAACTAATCAGACCAAGCACGTCGATCTAAGTAAACTCATCAGACCGAGCTCATCGATCTAAGTAAACTCATCAGACAAACATAATCGATCTAAGTAAACTCATCGGACAGAGCTAATTGATCTAAG